AGTGGTGCACAGTGACGACATCAGCAACACTAGTGGCAACTGCGACTGTTAATGATAAGAAGAGAAGAAAGAAGGTGGAAGTGATACAGTCATGTCTCCGAGCCTCAGTGACCTTGGCTTCATCGGTAGTAACCATGGCGGCAACAAGACAACGCCTCTTCGTCTTCGACTGCGGTGGTTTCCTCCACCGGAATAACGACCACATCGGCTTCGATTCCTGGTTCGCCCATTATTCCTATGTCGGTCTTTGGTATCACCACTCATGGTAGATTTCAGAGGTCTTGGTTGGTCGAAATGGCAAGGGAGGCGAACGGTGGCTGCTGGAGGGAGGTGGGGTGACGACTGCAACATAACTGGTTTAGGGTTAGGGTTTGATGGGGTAGCAGGTTTACATCCCCCGATTCCCTTAGAACTTTATTCCCATAATGACACTATCAGCCCTTTCTTTCTCTTTTTATTTCAAACTAAGTCCATATTTTACCTTTTCTACCCTGACTTCAGAAATTCCTTTCAATTCCAATCTGTAATTTTACGAATCTGCCCCTCCTACAATTATTTTCAACTGAGGTCCAGAATTTACCCTCTAGCCCCTGCTTCCATAAATTCTTTCATTTTAAGTCCAATACTTACCAAACACACCCTAACTTCTAAAAATGTTTACAAAATACATCCTGAAATTACATTTTGACCCCCCGAAAGTCTAAAATATATCATTTGGCTCCCTGAACCCAACTCTCCGCTAAATATTATTGATTTATTCTTTTTTATTTACTTATTTATTATTATTATTATTATTATTATTATTATCATCGGAATGTTAAAGTCTAGCGGGTTATTACCGGAGATTTATTCAGGACTTCTCTAAGATTGCAGTTCCTTTCACCTGACTGACCAAGAAGTCGGTGACATTCTGTTGGGGGCCTGAGCAGCAGGTAGCGTTCGAGACCCTAAGAAGTTGATGACTTTGTAGTTTATTTTGATACTTCAATCACAGGCATGGGAGCAGTTTTGATGCAGCGTGGTCATGTGATAGCTTATGCTTCGAGGCAGCTGAAGACTCATGAGTCTAACTATCCGATACACGATTTAGAGCTGGGGGTTGTGGTGTTCGTCCTCAATATTTTTTGGAATTACCTTTACGGGGTCCGTTATACGATTTACACGGACCACAAGAGTCTAAGCTAACTCATGGATCAGCCGAATCTGAACATCAGGCGGCGTCGATGGTTAGATGTGGTGAAAGATTACGATTGTGAGATCCTTTATCACTCGGGCAAGGTCAACATGGTGGCCGACGCCCTGAGCCGCAAGGCGGTAGCAGCCCCGATTCGAGATATATGTCTAAGGATGACAGTGGTTGCTCCATTGCTGGAGCAGATCAGAGAGGCGCAGGTTGAAGGCCTGAAGGAAGAGCACTAGAAGTGCGAGCGGATTATAGACCATGTAGCCTCCTTCGATTACGATAGACGCATATTATTGACCCTGCATAGGAGGATCTGGGTACCATATTGGGGCGGAGTACAACAACTATTGATGGATGAGGCCTACAAGTCCAGGTTCTCCATCCATCCTGGGGCAATGAAGATGTATCGAGATCTTTAACCCAATTACTGGTGGCCGTGCATGAAGCGGGATGTAGCATAGTACGTAGAGAGATACCTGATCTGCAAGAAGTCAAGGCAGAGCACCAGAGGCGTCACAACAAGATGAAATCGTTAGATATCCCCTTGTGGAAGTGGTAGGACATTACTATGGATTTCATCACTCTGCTTCCCAGGACTGCACGTGGAGTTGATTCGATATGGGTCATTGTGGGTCGATTGACCAAGAGTGTCAATTTTATCCCAATCCATGAGAGCATATCGGCCGAGAAGCTATCCGAGATTTACGTGTGTGAGATAGTGACACGTTATGGAGTGCATGTCTCAGTAGTGTCAGATCGAGATGTATGTTGTACTTCCAAATTCTGGAAGCGGTTCCACGACGAGATGGGTACTCATCTCCACTTCAGCACCGCTTTCCACCCCCAGACTGACGGATAGAGCGAGAGTTTTCTTTGAGAGTGTGATCCATTTGAGTGATCTTGGTGTGCTTTTGAAGCTTGTAGAAGAAGAAGAGGATATAGGGCTCAAAAGGGGAAGAGTAGATCCAGGAACACTCCATCTGCTACATTTTCTGGTAATTAAGCTCCTATATTGGCTATTAGCTCATTAGATCTCTTTATGTACTCTTTATGTGTGTTTTTGGTCAAAGAATGATAGCTCTTGGAAAATGATCGACCCAAAAGGGTAATCTTCCAGACCTAAGACCTTAAAAGGTTGGTATGGTATAAAGGTGTAAACTTTATGTCATTAGAGCCCCTATGAAAGCTCTAAGGACGTTATTATGGCCTTTTGAGCCCAAAAGGCCATGAATGGAAGCCAACTCAAGACTTTACATGTTCAACTGATATCTAGGACCTAGATCTAGGTTTTCATGCTTTGGTTTGGGATATTAAGGATTTTTGGATAAGATCTATGTCCTAAAAGAATTAGGGTTTTAGATAAACCCTTTAAGAAAGGTTCTCAACGGGTAAAGTTGGAAACTTTACCCTTAAAAAGATCATTTCCAATGAAGAAACGAAGTATGGACTTTGGATCTAGAGAATAAGGGCTTAATATGTTAAGATGGCCAAACAGACAAAGGGAGTCGTCAAGTCCATAAGGGAACTCGGCAAGTCAGGTGGTGTTGTCATGTTCCAGTTTAAGGTAGAACTTGACGGGTCTGTAGAGGGACTCGACGAGTTAATTCGCTAACTCGCAACTATGAGTCGCTCAATAGGAGTCGACGAGTCGGAAGAACGACTCGGCGAGTTGGGTCGCGATTCAAGGATTTCTGAGTTAAAGAGCTTAGTGAGTCGAAAGGTTGACTCGACGAGTTGGTCAACCCAAATGTTGACTTTAACCAGAGCGTTGACTTTGACCAGGGGTAAGATGGTCATTTTTCCCTTAGAAGGATTTTCAGTTTTTGTGAAGGTATAGTTGGGGAGTCGTTGGAGCAACCATCGGAGATTCCCCACTTGAGATATCAGCAGCCAGTTTGAGAGGTGAGTTTTCCTCCAGTAGGAACGAGTCGAAGGCACCAATGCCGACCCGTTTACATATGTTAGCATATACCAGGCTTCGGTCCGATGTCGGGGTTATCCTGATGCAGATTATGTATTTCTGGACTTCGGTCCGATGCTGGGGTGGTCTCGAGAAGTGTTTATGCATGCTTGATGTCTTTGTGATTCATGCATGTTATGTGTTATGTGTTCTGGGCTTCGGTTTAATGTCTGGGCAAGCCCGATGCATGTTATCTTATACGTTATGTGTTATGTGTTCTGGGCTTCGATCCTATGTCGGGGCAAGCCCGATGAATGTTATATGATTATGTGATATACTTATGTTATATGATATGTTGTATGTATGTCGAGGCAAGCCCGATGCCAGATGCGGTCTGATGCCTAGGTAAGCCCGATGACGGGTTCGTCCCGATGCAGCTGGGCGGAGTCCTAAAGTTATGTTATATGTTATGTGTATAGTTGTGAAAAGGTTATGTGTATTTTGTGTATAGAGAAAGAAAAGAATGATGTAAGAAATGAGGGTTAAAAGTTTGGTATTTATCGGTATAAAATGTTGTTTAAAAATTTAATTTTTTTAAAAGATTAGTCGTTCAACGGTTACATCCGTTCCAAATCGAGAGAGGGCCTGATTGGCAGTTTGGTTTCGTCGTCCGGAACACGAGTCACCACAAGTACCCCCGACAATGAATGGCTGGGGTAGTGTTCACGACTCGATTTCGTGGCCACATATACCACGATGACCCTCGTCTTTCATATACCGTTTGGTCTTATTTTACTTGTTTCACACTTTACAGTAATATGATGTTTACACTACCACGACATCTAAATGGGTGTATTTTTCTTAGAAAAACTGCAAAAATGGTACTTGTGGTATGCATTTTTCTGAGGTTTAGTTTAAACATCGTTTTTTTTTGGTTTCGTGGTTCTTTTGGTCTCGTTTCTATGTAGAAATGGTCCATCCAAAAATTAAAATGACTATTATTCCCTTTTATTTTTACTTTTACATTTTTTAATATTTATTTTAATATTTTAATAATTTAAACAATAGAAGGGTAACCACACACATTCTCTCTCTCTCTCTCTATATATATATATATATATATATATATATATATATATATATATATATATACATATTTCTGACATTTATTCATAAACTCAGGTTTCTTGGATGAACCTGATGAATATATGTTCTTCATTCATCTTCTAGAAACAAAAATTCAAGGTTCAATTTTAAAAGACACACACAAAACCAATCTCCCTCTGTCCCAGACTGTTTTAAACAAATCGAGACTAAAAATTATGTATGTGCCTTTTCATATTCACCACATAATCTCTCTCTCTCTCTCTCTCTCTCTCTCTCTTACCCACACACACACATGTACATGCACACGAATACACACACACATCTCTGCTATGTATGTGTTCGATCATCCGTCATCTTCTTTCTAATCTCATTCACTGCCAAGAATGTGTTCAAAGCTCAAAAGTTGAGAAGACTTTGATCCAACATCTCCCCAATGATACGAGATGGAACAAGATCAAAGCATATAAAATCTAATTTCGTTCAAAATATTATCAAAACAAATCAGGAACAAAGCATCATAAAAATTAAAGTAGTATAACCATCCATTGATTGAAACATCAGTCGATCATTCTTCATCTTCTTTCTAATCTCATTCAGCCACGTCGAACTTCAACTCCATCGAATTGAAACAAAATCAGAATTTATATCATGCCATCGAGCTGCATACAATAAAAAACTTCTTCCCATTAATTTGCATTGCCTACCCATTTCAAGCCTCACAAAAAAAAAGAACGCAGTGAAGGACAATGGTTGATTTATGATGTCAGAAACTCCTTTCGATTGGATTGGGACGAACCTACACTATGGCGGATGTTTAGTAGATATGGGACTGTTGTTGACGTCTACATAGCAAAGAAGTTGAATCGGCTTAAAAGAAACTTTGGGTTTGTCCGATTTATTCGGGTCCAGGACTGTGCTTCATTCGAAAAACGTCTCAATGAGATCTTCATTGGAGCTCAAAAACTAGAGGCAAATGTTGCAAGATATCAAAGGGCTGACAGCTTGAACCGAGCAAGAAACCTTCATCCCACAAGAAGACAAAAACCAGACCCAGTTCCAGACTCAGCAATGAATACACGAAGGCAAGGGAGGTCGTTCGTCGAGGTGGTCAAGGGAGAAATGTCAAGTGCAGGTAATGAAACGGGGGAGCCAAGTAAAGTAGTGACCGGTTCAAGAAAAACAATAAAGATGCTATCCAACCCGGAGTCAGTAGATGTCATGAAGAACACATTGGTGGGGACAGTAGAAAATCTCCAAGACTTAATGAACGTGAAGGCTTTCCAAGAGGTAGAGGGATGCCCGTCAATGAATATGAGGTACTTGGGGGGTCTAAAGATGCTGCTCGAATTCGGGAATGAAAAGGAGAAAGATGAGTTCCTGTATAATGGGAAAGAGATATGGAAGTCGTGGTTCAAAGAGGTCTATAACTGGGATGCAGGAGAGAATTTCAATGAAAGAATTGCTTCACTAATCATTCAAGGAGTGCCACAGCATGCTTGGTGTGAGGATGCTTTCAACGTCATTGCTAGTACATGGGGGGCGGTGGTAATTCCGGAAGAATGCAATACAGATTCTCCTAATCTGCCTTTCGGTAGAGTGGGAATCCTCACAACCCATCCCGGAACCATAAGCTCTTCCATCAAAATCATGGTAGACGGGAAACCCTACTTGATTAACATTATGGAGGATACATTTGAGTCCCTGAAACTTAATCCGGTCCTTGCTGTAAACGATTTCTACCAAAGGATGTCGTGGTGGGATGAGGCCAGTAAAAGTGACAATGGTAGTCTCAATAGTGAAAATTCAAACCGATCTGAAGATAGTCTCCCGTCTCCGCGAGCATCGCCGGCAAAGACCCAGCAAGTGCCGGACGTCTATCCGGCGGTGTATGGGGAAGAGTGGAATCAGAATGTGAATGGGGAAGTGGAAGAGACGCAAAGTTTGGCGGCCGATGAAACTCCTCGATCCTACCAACCTGTGGAAAAAAGTAAGGAAGATGTTTCGCCGGCATTCCTGGGTGTAGGTCAGGCCCCATCCGGATCCGGTGCTTCGAATACCCGGCAAAAGGTACAGGCCCAATTTCCCCCCGCTTCGTCCAACCCGAACTCCACTCAGCCCAATAACAATCACCCATTGGACCTTAATATAGCCCCAACACTTTCAAACTCGTCTGGGAACATTGATTTATACTCCGAGTGTAATTAACTTAGAATACCCTCCTCTCCTGATCGGACCCTCATGGAAGAACATCTCTCAGGCGGCTCGCACCCCACCCATGGTTCTCTGAATCTGCTTCATCATCCTGAAAATTCGCAGACCCATCCAAAGGAATCGAACGCCACTTCAGTGGAAGTGATCAGAACCATCAATGTCGAAGAATCGGTTGGTTTTCAAGTAGGTAACCACTCCGATCAAATTAGACAGCTGATTAAAGCTCGTGGCGTGACTATCATTGAACAATGAATATCTTCTCCAACAATGTTCGTGGAGTCGGGTGTGAGGTCAAACGGGGCTGGCTCAGAGATTGTCGCAGTAAAAATCACTCTTTTTTTATGGGACTGCAGGAAACCAAATCCAGAGACATAATAAATAATCTAGATAGGCCAATATGGGGCTCTCTAAATTTCAAATGTGAGGTAATCGATCCAGACGGGCTCTCGGGTGGTATCGCCTCATTTTGGGACCCAACTCTATTTCAAGCCTCTGAAACAATTAAAGGTGAGGGCTTTCTTGCAATTAAAGGTGTTTGGTTGGGACTAAAGAAATCATGCTGTTTTGTTAATGTATATGCTCCCGAAGAGCCCATGAGGAAAAGATCTCTGTGGAATAACCTGGGTGGGTTGGTAAACTCAGATTTGGATGCTTGCTGGTTCATCTTTGGAGATTTTAATGTGGTCAGACTACCGGAGGAAAGGCTGGGTTCAGTGTTCTGTCAAAATAGTGCCTACTACTTTAATGATTTTATTCATTCTCTAGGATTACTGGAAATTAAGATGGGGGGCGCAGGTTCACGTACATGAACTCTACTGGGGACAAACATAGCAAGCTGGACAGATTTCTAGTTTCCTTAAATACCTTAAATTCATGGCCGAATCTAAATGTCACTGCCTTGCCTAGAGTACATTCTGATCACTGTCCAATAATCCTTACGGCGTCACAGTTAGATTTCGGCCCCACTCCATTCGGGTTCTATAATTCATGGCTCGAGGATCCGGAGTTGGGGAAAATTATAAGCAGCGGTTGGTCAATCAGTAATTGTCCCAGACGTCCGCTACATCTATCCCCTCTTTCCATGGTGGCAAAGAAATTAAAGAACCTAAAGGAGCATATCAAAACTTGGAGGAAGGAAGTGACAGAGAAATTGAAAAAGGAAGTGGATGAGCTTACAACCCAATTAAATGACATCGATCTTTTGACCGAGAAGGGGTTGATAACCAATGACATGCTCAAAAGACGTCAGAACGCTCACCAGAAAATCATGGAAATCGAGTCCGGGCGCATAGAGGATTTGAAGCAAAAGTCTAGAGTTAAATGGGCTCTAGAAGGTGATGAAAATAGTGCTTTTTTTTTTCATGGAATAATTAATAAACATCATAGATCACAGCGTATTAACGGTATCAAGGAAAATGGTCTCTGGATCACTAATCCGATGGACATCAAGGAGAGAGTTTTAAAACACTTTGCTGATAGATTTGCTGAACCTATTAAATCGCGCCTTAAGTTCATCAATTCCAGCTTCAAGAAAATGCCCCCCGGAGCTATTGAATTCTTGGAAGACCCTTTCTCCATGGATGAGATCAAAGCAGCAATTTGGGCGTGCGGTGCAGATAAGGCCCCTGGACCTGATGGATTCTCATTCGCTTTTCTAAAGAAGCATTGGGAGGAAATTGGTAGTGATTTCTACCTAGCAGTCAAACATTTTGAAGCTTCAGGGTTTATAGATGAAGGATGCAACTCGTCTTTTATCACTCTAATTCCAAAGGTCTCGGATCCGATCACGCTAAATGACTTCCGACCTATTAGCCTGATTGGATGTCTATACAAAACGATTGCAAAAGTCCTAGCTGAAAGACTGAAAAGAGTAATCCACTATGTGGTAAGTAACGAACAAACAGCTTTCATAAAAGACAGAAACATCCTTGACGGGCCTTTAATCCTCAATGAAGTTATTAGCTGGTTGAGGAAGAATAAGAAGAAAGCGTTCATTTTCAAAGTTGATTTTGAAAAGGCTTTCGATTGTATTAGTTGGGATTTCTTGGATTCAGTCATGCAACAAATGAATTTTGGAGATAAATGGCGAGCATGGATACGTGGCTGTTTAGCATCAGCAAGGATCTCGGTCCTTATAAATGGTGCAGCAACAAAGGAATTCAGAATGGAGCGGGGTGTAAGGCAAGGGGATCCATTGTCCCCTTTTTTATTTATTTTAGCAGCTGAAGGTCTCCATGTAGCTCTAGAATCGGCAAGAGAAAATGGTGTTTACAGCGGTATACAGCTACCTCGTGGTGGTCCATCAATCTCGCATTTACAGTATGCGGATGACGTGATTTTTCTGGGGTCATGGTCGCTGGAAAATACGAAAAATCTGATCAGAATATTAAGGTGTTATGAGCTGGCCTCGGGGCTCAAGGTTAATATGACAAAGAGTAAAATTTACGGACTTGGTGTCCAATACTGTGAACTGGAGCTGGTGGTTCGTAGGTTCAATTGCTCGATCGGTTCATTCCCGATTACATATCTGGGTCTTCCAGTTGGTGTCTCGATGGCTCGTGAAACTCATTGGAAACCCATAATCGGAAAATTTAAAGCAAAACTCTCGAGATGGAAAGCCTCTACCTTGTCGTTTGGGGGTAGATTAACCCTCTGCAAAGCTGTTTTAGGTAGCCTCGGCTCATATTATTTCTCGTTATATAAAGCCCCTTCAAAAGTATTAAAATCTCTGGAACGCATCAGGATGAATTTTTTCTGGGGTGGTAGCTTGGAAGCAAGGAAAATGGCCTGGGTTGCATGGGAAAAAACTTTAGCTTCCAGAGAAAGAGGGGGCCTCGGGATTGGCAGCTTGAAAGCGCATAATCTCGCTCTTATGGGCAAATGGTGGTGGCGTATTAGAACCCAACAGAACAATATTTGGGCCATGGCAATTCAAGCTATTCATGGAATAGAGGGTGGAGTGGCTCGTCCCAAGGCTGTTAGAAGAAGAAGTAGTTGATGGGGCTCGATCGCTTGCCTGCCAGCTTATCTAGACAAAGATCAGGTGCCGTTCCTTTCTTTCTTTCAAAGTGCATTAAATCTCGATGGCTCAATCAAATGGGTATGGTCTCTCGATCAATCGGGTGTCTATTCTGTATCATCACTTCGGAAGCATATCGATATCCAATCCCTGCCTTATACTACTGGCTGGAATTGGAACCCGCTTGTGCCGGGTAAGATAAACATATTAGCATGGCGTGTCAGCCACTGTCGGATCCCATGCATGGAGAATCTAAATAAAATTGGTATCAGCTCCACGGATTTATGCCAAATGTGTTATGAGGCCTCGGAATCCGTTGATCACATCTTTGTGGAATGTCCAATAGCAAAGGAAACATGGGCGCAAGTATGTAGCTGGTGGCGTTTACTGGGTAAGTATCCGAACAATTGTAGGGAGTTGCTAACCTGTAAAGAATCATTAAGGGGACATAATAGGCTGGAAATGATACATGAGGCTATAATGTTGGTGTTTCTATGGGTCATGTGGAGATACAGGAACAACAAGGCTCACTGCTCGAATCTAAAATCCGGCTCAAGATCGGCTTTGGCTTTAGAGGTACAGACATTTTCGCATTTATGGATCAATGCAAGGAATCGGAAAGGAAGGAAGCTAAGATGGATCGAATGGTGTTGTGACCCAATACTGGAATGTTATAGCAGGATGTAGTTAATTTAATTAGTTTAATTTTATTCCTTTTCTCCAGTTTTTATTTCCTTTAGTCTCTTCTTTTGTTGCAATGTTAGATTCTTGAGACTTTTCGTTGTACCCTCTAGCTCCTGGCTAGCTGTTTCAATTTAATATATGCTGCTGTTCAAAAAAAAAAAAAAAACTCCTTTCGATTAGGGTCTATTTCTTACACCCAAACAACATTAAACTAAACAAAAGGATCGGGGTATGGCTTAAAAATTATTCAATGGTGGTGATTTTCTATTAGTGGTGGCCTGATGGCGGCAATCACCATCTCGGTGTTGGTGATTTCCGGTCAAAAGAAGGAGAACGAGAAAGAGGTCAAATTTCTTACCTTAAACAAGAAGCACCATTAGAAATCATAGCCACCGCCCTCTAACAATCCCCACATCCAATCGAGACCTTCTTTTCATGCTTCGTTTTCCTCATAAATTGACGAGCATTCATAGCTATTACATCGGTGATAAAAAAATCAAAACAAGTTTTACGGAAAAAATCTAAAAATTGATCCATTCACAGAACTTGACAATTGATTTATGCCCTAAGCCCAAATTCAGATTATGGAAACAGAAATCGATTAATAATAATGAAGAATTTGAGTTGAATCGATTATAACTAAAGGAAAGAATCTCCAAATTCTTTGCGAGAATAATATGCAATGATAAGGAGCTTGAGGCAAAGAACATATGAACTCGATGGATTCATCAACGACTACATAAATCGATTTAAATAGGGAGCAAATCAATGAGCGTATGAGAGAGAGGAAGAGATTGGTGGGTCCGTTCTTATTAAATAATTATTTAGATTAAAAAAAATAAAGAAAAACATTAAACTAATACCCAAAATGTATTAAAGTCATTTAAATTTATCGAGAGAACATTCCACGTACAAACTAGACAAAAAAAACCATAAAACCAAAAAAATCGATGTTTAGATTAAATCTCAGAAAAAATACACCAGAGTGACAATTTTTGCAATTTTGTCTTTTTTTTAATTTTTTATTTTTATTAGTTATAGTTATATGGTTGATGTTTAGATATTTCGCCAAATGATGTATAACAAATTTTTAGATCTTATTCGTACTGTTATTTTACTTATTTGACAATATTCAAGGCAATTATAGAATCATGTCCAAAATTATAACTTTATTTTTAATTTAATCTTGATATATATTATACCTTCCTATAATTAAAAATATGAAAGTCTATTATTGTTGAATGTATTATGTTTTTACGTCTATTAAATCATTATCTCTAAAATTTAAACTCGAGTATCATGTTTTTTGCATTATAAACATTGAAGTTACTTTTTACGTTTTTCGCATTAAAAGATGAACAGTTAAAGTAGAGGAACAAGTTTCAGTTATTGGTTCTTTCAACTAACACTGCATCAAAAAAAGGAAAGGGAGCACGGCAGTTAAAGTAGGAAAAAGGTCACCGAATAACGGACCTTCTTCGCACGCCACCCTCTTTCCCACGTGCTCACTGTACTGCGATTCGATATGGTCGTCCACGTGTCTCCTCTTTACCCAACTCCTTCCTCCAGGTGTTCCCCTTCCTCCTCTTTCCTTTTCTATATCAACACCTTCAACAATTCAACACCAAATTCCCTACACGTTTCTCCCTTTTCAGTTTTCAATCACCCACCGGAATTAACATCTCTCATCGGAAAACCAAACCATGGAGACGGAAGTCCATACCAATTACTCCTACATGGGACGGAATTTCAGTAACATCACCCTTTCAAACGACGATTCCGCCGCTTTCAGCGATTGTAACAGTGACCGATCAGGTGAGTTCCCGACCACGTCGGTGACCAGGCGTCTTCTCCTCGCCTGCGCTACCGAATCGTCGGATGATCTAATTCAACAGCTGGTCTCCGATCTAGATTCGGATTCGATTGAAGATCAGAAGCAAGCAGCGATGGAGCTCCGGTTGCTCGCCAAGAACAAACCGGAAAACCGAGTTAAGATAGCGAGAGCCGGAGCAATCAGGCCGTTGATTTCGTTAATCTCGTCTTCTGATCCTGAACTCCAAGAGCACGGTGTTACAGCGATTTTGAATTTGTCGCTGTGCGATGAGAACAAAGAGGTTCTAGCGGCGTCCGGAGCAATCAGGCCGTTAGTTAGAGCTTTGAAGGTTGGAACACCGACGGGGAAGGAAAACGCGGCGTGCGCGCTTCTCCGGTTATCTCAATTAGAAGAAAACAAAGCGGCAATCGGTCGATCAGGAGCGATTCCTTTGTTAGTTGACCTACTGGAAACCGGAAACTTCCGAGGGCAGAAGGACGCATCAACGGCGTTGTATTCGTTGTGTTCGTTGAAAGAAAACAAAGTTCGAGCAGTTCAGGCCGGGATCATGAAACCGTTGGTTGAATTAATGGCGGATTTCGAGTCAAACATGGTCGATAAAGCAGCATTTGTGATGAGCGTTTTGACACCACTGAAGGAGGCTAGGGCGGCGTTGGTGGAGGAAGGAGGTATTCCGGTGCTGGTGGAGATCATAGAGATCGGATCTCAGAGGCAGAAGGAGATAGCGGTGGTGATTCTGTTGCAGATTTGTGATGATAGTGTGGTCTACCGTACTATGGTGGCCCGCGAAGGAGCCATTCCTCCCCTCGTCGCCTTGTCACAATCTGGTACAAAGCGCGCTAAACAAAAGGTAAAAATTACCACTATAATTTACTTCAAAAATAATTTATGATTTATCTTTTTTTGTCGCTTTTCCGAAAATTAATTACATGTCACTTTTGAAAACGAGAGGCTTCCATATCCGTTGACTTGTGAAGTGTTCTTAAGTATTGACTACAGTTTTTAATACTCATCCATGGAATCACTTGTGACCAATTCTAGATGTTTACAGTCAATGCGTCATCTAAAATTGAACGTTTCAAATCAAGGTTTTTATTGGAGAATGACCTCATAAAGAATTTGTATTTTAGATTGGAAAAAGTAAAACCTAACGCATATTAATTCGAATCAGAAGTATGTCTTTTAATAATGCTTACTTTAATTATATTATTAATGGAAGATACGAAATATCTTTATCTCTGTGACATATGAAACCTAATTCGAATCTGAGAAAGTGATGTAGGTTGTTATGTGAGTTTATTGGATGTTATCATGTTAATTAGAATAATGGAATAATTAAATGGAAAATATTATTATATTGTTTAATAATGGTGATTCTTAAGTTGAATTATTTTGGATGATTGACAGGCGGAAACACTTATTGAGCTTCTTCGGCGACCAAGATCCGGCAACGCTGCTGCCAGCTCGGATTAATCAGAATGAGATGTTCCACGTCAGCATAATGACAAAAACATTAAGACAAACATGTTTTCCAAAATTATATTTTAGAAAAAGAAAGAAAGGAAGGAAGAGTTTTTTTTTTTTTTTTTTTGGTCGGATTTGTAAATATTTAATGTTTGCCGCTACCCTTGTAAATTGGCGAACGAAATACCTGTATCTCTCTGTCTTTTTTTCTTAAATTTTGAATGGAATGCAATGTGTGTTCAACAAAAAGGGAGAGAATGGAAAACGACTTAGAACGACAACTTTTTTTTTTACTCTCTCTCTATATATATATAATTCGCATGTTTTGCTGAATTTTAAGAAATACAATACTCATTGCAATATTTACAATCAGTTTATGCATTAACAAAATATTGGTCAACGTACAGTTAAACCTCGATGCTCTTGATTTGGTCCTCATTCCCTATCCCTTCAAACAACTCCCCTTCTATGTCGCCATTTCTTCCGCCTATACTTAATCTTTCTGGCCATTTATATAACCCTCTCCCACATCCACTCTTCTCTATACTGTCATCTCAAACCATATAACACTTCTCACACCGCTTACACCAGATAACAGTCCTCACACCACTTACAGTAGTTGTCATCTCCGCATCCCAGCACCACCGTCGCACTACTATTACAACGCCATCACTAAGACCACTATTACACCGCCATCACCAAGACATTCCACCATCAACGTCTCCTCTTTCTCCCTCTTAATCAAAGATCATCAAAATCCATCACCCTACTTCCATTCTTCTTAAATGATAACCACTTTGTCATTGCTCTCTAAAACGAATGTTGTTCTCCCCATTCATCTCAATCATCAGCTAACAGTAAGACAATCACCTATTTCTTCCCTAACCAGTGACCTCCACCACCACACACCGTCGTCTACACCACCACCATCAATTTTATCGATTTCATATCTTTCTAATTTATGTTTTAAATGGATTTTGGAGTCAGGACCGTGGTTACCACAATCGTTCCGGTCTTCACCCTCAGTTAAGATTCAGATAATCTGTAGATCACCTTCTTTCTTTCTATTATCTTCCTTTATTCCAGTCACTAACACATATGGACCTCGACATAAAAACCCTTGAATTTGAATCAGGTTCAAGAAATCCGACATAAAGCCCTTTTTCTAGAAAACTAGGTTTTGATTCAACTTTCCTTTCTCTGTTAAGAGGTTTAAGAGAAAAAACGGTGTTGTACAACCATCTCTCTCTCTCTCTCTGTGTGTGTCTATCTCTCTTCATCTCTCTCTATCTCTCCATAGAAGAAATCTTCTCCTTTTCTTGAATTGTGTGTGTATGATTACAGGTCCCAAAAGAAAAAACATTTTTACTGATTTCTGTTGTTCAGGGCCTTAGATCACCAAGTTTATGGGTATGAAATTGGCTTATCTAGATCTAACCCACACACCAGGTTCAATAAACTCACCACTAATTCTATATTTGTGTGCTAAACTTTGTTTTTTTTTATAGGCAATGGTATTTAAAGGGATTTCCTGGTTCTACTATATGCTAATCATGTTTTGCGATTCAACAAGAACTGATGGCTATGATCTTGGTGGTTCCTTAATGATTAGTTCAACTTACTTTTACATAAATATTTCTTGAAAATAGAGATAAATTTTCATATTAATATAAACTGAAAAAGATGAATGTCAAATAGGAGAAAGTTGGTGCTAATGAAGAACAACTTTCCTATTTGCTAACATTTCACATTTACATTTAAATTGCAAAAAGATAAATTTTCAAATTCACATGTAAGTTTTCAGACATAAGTGTCAATTATCACATTAATCTTTTCGTTTTTATTGTCATTTCCACATGTTTTTGTTTTTGGGTCAATGGTAATCAACATTTTGTTGAGTATTTTTTCTGTATACTAGATGATTACACACACAGGTAAAAAATCAAGAGTGTATTTGACTTAATTCAGTTTTCAAAACTCAATAATATGTTCTTTTATAGCTTGGGTTGACTTAATTCCTGTTTCAAAACTCAACAAGAGTATATTTGACATATTAAAGGGTTTGTTTTATATCTTCATATCATTTACATTTACAGGTTTGAGATTTATCTGTTCAAATAATCGACCTTCTGTAGCTTGGTATTTTCTTTGTGATCATGTGTGCTAAGATAAACAATTGAAAAGTACATGTTTAAGCTCTCAACAAGTGGGAACATACTCTGTATTTTAGCTTCTGTTAGGGTAAAAAATGAAAGGTCTATTTCAGTTTATGTAAAAAATGGTTAGCTTTGTAGAAAGAATTATCAGCTTAATATTTTACATTAATGTTTTAGTTGAGTATGATCATAATTACTTTACTATATTAAAGGAATGGTTTTAAATTTAATTTGGAAATAGATGAATAATTAATGGTATATAATATTGTAACGCCCCGTTTCTGGTATGTTATTTAATATTATTATTTATTCAAGTTTCAAGAGGGACTCGAAGAGTCAGTAGCCCGACTCGTCGAGTAGAGATGGGATTTCGAGTACGTTTGAGTTGGCGACTCGGTGAGTCCTTCAGTCTGAATGAAACCCTAAATCCCCGAGTTTTGCACCCTATTTAAGCCATGTTATGAGCCCCAACCTCGTTCCCTTCACCCTCAGAGCATTATTTAGCAAACCCTAACCTTTCCTTGAGCATTTTGAGCATTTATTGTGTGATTCTTTAAGTTTTGGAAGAGAAGAAGTAGCTAGATCCAAGGGAGTAGATGAAGGTCCAAGATCTTGCATCTATTGCAGAGTTATTGAGGTAAAAACCCGATCCCCTCTGTTGCTATGATTGATTCTCCTTTGTTGAATCACATTTAGACCATTTTATCCATTCCTTAGCTTATTTATGGCAGAGAAATCACATTGGGGTGATTGGACTCCGGTTCTAGCCATGTTTCAGTCCCAAAGGCGTGGATCCAACACCTTTATGGAGCCTTTTTACTTGAAAGCCCTAGATCTATTTCTTGAAGTGTCTTTTTAGCCTTTAAATCCATTTTCATGCATTTGTACACGTAAAGTTGGAAACTTTACGTGGTAGCTAAGCTTTATGAACCCAGATCTATAAGTTGTATGCATTAGATTTGAGCAGAATCATCGGAGTAGTTTTGCAAGCAACCGACTCGGCGAGTTGTTCTTCAGACTCGGCGAGTCAGGTCGCGAGTCCCCGAGTTTTTCCCCTTTTATGTGTTATGCTGAGTGGAATCAGTGAGCTATGGGAGGATTTAGTGAGTCGAAGATCGGACTCATTCATGAAGGGACTCGGCGAGTCAATGCCCTAACTCGGTGAGTCCAAGGTAATCTTCATACCTCAAGAACAGACTCGACGAGTTGTTCATACAACTCGGCGCACAACTGGAAATTTTGTGTCATGTAATCTATACATTCAAGCTAATGTGAATCAAAAACTTCAATCAAATACATTATACAAGTACTACAAGTAGTCATCAAACAATTGGAAAACCCTAGAAGTTCTTGTTAAGTCTATTTGGACTAGAACTTCCTTATTGGATCCAAATGGACCAATAAGCTTCCAATTGGACTATCATGGGCTTAGAACCCTAATTGGGCTCTAATTGGACCCACATTCATTTATTTCAATATTTTGGGCTAGGTTGAACCTAGAATGAAATAAATTAATGACTATGAACCATAATTAACCTAATTTGACCCTAACAAGTCATAAAAATCACATTTAAATTGATTTGGACCAAAAATCACCCAACATAACCATGAAAAATTGGGCTTAAGTATTTAAGGCCCAAACACCCTTATTTCCCCCATTATTTTCGGCCCAAAAGCTCAAGCCCAAGAGGAGGGTTGACCTTAGTGTGCCACCTCATTATTGCCCATAGGTTTTCCATGCAAATCCATTCCATGTATCCATGCACATCACCTCATGTCTATATCTCCCTCTCTCTCTTTGTTTCGGCCGAGAGCAACACCACACACACACAAAACACTCACAAACTCTCTCTAAAATTCACTCAAGGCTTCTTCTTCTTCTCTATCCAAAATCTCGAAGTTTTGGTAGCATTCAAGGAAGTTCTTCCACAAAATCACCATCTAAGGTAACGTTTTGCTTGGATCTATGACTTGTATTCCTTATTTATCAAAAATCTCTTCCTAATCCATGCAAAAATCATGATCTTGCACTCTAAAAACCCCATAAACTCGAAAATTTCATCAAGGAGTGCAAAGGCCAAAAATCACTTCATTTCTCCCAATCTTTCTTCAAAAACCGAATCAACACCCAAGGTGAGTTTCATATCCCCTTATTTTCGGTTTTTATGAGTTTTTGTGGGGGAGAATACAAGAAAAAGTGTAGATCCATCATTATGTGTATGTTGTGGTTGATTTCTATGCTTACATGTATGTTTGTATGATTTTTATGATAGATCTAGTGTGATATGCTAAAAACCGAGACATATATTTTATCATAGCATAAAATAGACTATCACATGCAAAGTATACTAAGAAAATGACTAAATAGCTTGACAACACTTAACTTGGGTTAAAAACTCATTTTTTGACATAAAATGTTGAAAATACAAAGTTAAAGGGCCTAAAGTGAAATATTTCGAAATCTGATGGGTAAGATGAGTCAAAACAGTTTATACAATGTATTTTCTAAAAATATACTATTTAGAGGGTTAAAAACATAAATTTCAAGCTTATTGGGCTAAACATGACATTTTCGGCCCAATAAGGCCCAATATGCGAAATTTTCTAAATTGGAGGACCAAAACTGCATTTTTCTGTAAAACAGTGGACTATAAGTGTTCCATGTGCTTTTCAAAGGTTTAAAATGCTTTTCAAATTTAAAAGGGACCAAAGTTGTAAAAATTTTCCAAATTGGGTCAAAAATGTAAAAGTTGCGAAAAAGAGGGGCTATAACCGAGAAAACTGAAATTTCAAGGGCTTAAACTGTTTTCTATGATAAAAATACTGGAAAATACTTATTTCAATAATTTTTGGTATAAAAATGTCAAGAAAATTGATTTAAGGACCAAACCGGAAAGTTTTTAAATAAAGGGGTAAAAAGAGTAATTTCTACAATTAAGGAGGGGCTGAAAACAGAAAATCTTCAATGCTAGTTAATACATGCAAT